GAGTGTGATTATAGCAGTGGGTTGGTTTATTTACACTCTGACAAAAACCAACATAATCTAATATAGAGTTATATGCAACAGTAAGGCTATTTTTATCAACATGAATATTAAAGTCACCTACGATAATTACTTTATCTGTTTTAAGTACCAAAGTTGATAAAAACTCAGAGAATTCAGATAAGAATTCTGAATAAGGACCTGGTGCACGGTACACTGTAACAAATAAGATTGGCTGCAAAGTTTTCCAGGTCGGATGCGTAAGACTAAAAACGAGACTTTCAAAGGAGGTATAATTTAATTTTGGTTTAGTATTGATAAGTAAACTTGAGTCAAAGATTGCTGCAACTCCACCTCCTCGGCCCGTGCCTCGGGCAATATGAGTATTGATATGGCTGGGTGGAGTGGCCTCATTTATGCTGACATATTCTTCATGTCTCAACCAAGTTTCAGTGAGACAGCATATATATCAATATTATAATCTGATATTAAATCATTTACCAATATTGCTTTAGATGCTAGAGATCTTATGTTTAAGAGACCACATTTAATATTCCTGTTTTGTTGCACTGTAGTAGTTGTTACATTTACTTTTATTAGGTTATTATGTATGACACCTCTATTAGGTTTTACCTTAACTTGTCCTTGGGCAGACACACACACCGCTAATATTGGGTATTTTATTGGTTTCGGGATTCCTATGGATGACTGCCTAGGAGAGAGCGCAGAGAAGCGTGTAAGACTGCGACTCCGCCTCCTGGTCTCAACTCCAGTTTGTCATGGATTAAGTCCACAAAGCCCTGAAATGTTTGCCGAAATGAGATTTGCACCTTCCAAAGTAGGATGAATGCCGTCTCTCTTAATCAGACCAGGTTTTCCCCAGAAGGCTGTCCAATTATTTACGAAGCCCACATTGTTTGCTGGGCACCACCAAGACAACCAGCGCTGAAATGATGACATGCGGCTATACATGTCATCATTGATCAGATTGGGGAGGGGACCAGAGAAGATTACGGTGTCCGACATTGTTTTAGCATAACTACAAACCGACTCCACATTAAGTTTGGTGCATTCTGATTGGCGTATACGAACATCATTACCACCGACGTGAATAACAATCCTACTGTATTTACGTTTATTTTTAGCCAGCAGTTTAAGATGCGCCTCAACGTCGCCCGCTCTGGCCCCCGGAATGCATGTGACTGTGGAACAACTGCCCAAAACGCATACATAAGCAGGAAACACCTGCAAATAATGAAATGAAAAACAAACAAACCCTGAAAACAAATACAACAGAAAAACGCTGCATTTACAGAAATGTTGCGAACTAAATACAACACACAAACCCCGAAAACAAACGCAACAAAAAAACGCTGCAAATACCAAAATGATATGCAAAGTCCAAAGCACGTACAAATCCCAAAACACATAAACAAAACATTCCGGAAGTGCTCCAGGCCTCTAGGGGGCGCGCTACGTGGAACAGATTGATGTCTGACCAGACATAGAGAGAACGAACAAGAGTGATGGAATCGAGAGGAAAAGAAAGTTCATTAAGTGGAGGAAGATATAAGAAGGGTAGTTTTGTTTTTATACATAGAGCGTCATATTTATATAGGCTAGCGTTATGCGTGGCCTAACTACTGACACCAGCTGAGGAGAGCTTCACGTGATGAGAGAAGATAAAGTGAGGAAGAACATTGTTAAAAGTGAGTACCCAGCGGAAAAAGGGACATTTGAATTATTAGCAGTTGTTTATATGTATATTATTTGTGTATAGATGTTGCCAACTATACAGAGCTTTAGCAATTACCTGTACTATGGTCATGCTAATAAAGCTATGAATTGAGAGAGAGAGAGAGAGAGAGAGAGAGAGAGAGAGAGAGAGAGAGAGAGAGAGAGAGAGAGAGTAGAGAGAGAGAGAGAGAGAGAAGAGAAGGAGAGAGAGAGAGATAGAGAGGAGAGAGGAGAGAGAGGAGAGCATAGCAGGAGCGAGAGAGAGAGAGAGATGAGCAGAGAGAGAGAGAGATGTGACAACATGTGAAGAGGGACAAAGTAATGACAGGAGAGTAGTGTGCATTAGACATGCTCAAGAACAAATATAGAGACATTCAAGGAGAGACAGAACACAGATTCAACGGTAAACATGATGTATCTTTCTATTTATTTAGGCTAACCACTATTTAGACTATGTGTTTTTGATTAACCTTGATTAAATGGATTTACTACGTCAATGTATGTCTTTTCAGGCCGCCATGTTTTGTCCTTTCTGTGGCCAGCATCTGGGGACAGTTCAAGTGTTCTGTGGCTCCTGTGGCAAACATGTACAGTTTTTGGCAGAAGTTGAACACAACAGTAAGTTCACTTTTTTTATTGTATCTGTTTCAAATGCAAGAAATAAGGATTCAACACACTACTCTGTTTAGAATACGAATTGGCAGATGCATACACTAGTTATCAGCATGAAGGACACATTTTTTCATTGTCTGTTTATGTGAAATATGTAGAAGCCATCATTAAATTGTAGACCAATGCATGATTAAATACACAAAACAGCTTATATTATACATTCATAATTGTGTATTAGTTCTATCTTTATAGAGAACATTATACATTTAGAATCAGATTTTGAGACAGTGAGCAGCTGGGAAAGTCACACCGCCATGGGGCACAAACAGTTGCTGACGTGATGTTTTCTTCATTCTCAGGCATTCCATAAGGAGGGTCAGGAACTCACGCTTGGGACCACCATTGTCCTTTCCATCCTCAGTGTGTCCCTCATCATCAGTGAACTTAACTGACATCTCATGAGAGGGATCGAATGAGGCACCTTTGAAGCCGCGGATTGCTCCATCGCACACACTGGCTCTATTAATATTGAACCTGCTGCAAGATGTATTTGTTATTTTTGCAGAGAGTTCTGAAACAATGTGTGCCGCAGTCAGATATTCTGTGCTGGGAAAGACAAAGTGATGTATTGTAATATTAAATGATGAAGCTAGTAATACGATTTACAGTATAGAATAGAAAAATTAAGTGGTAATAGTAACAATTAATACCTTTGCTCCATTCTGTCTTCTGGCTCAGACTGGCTATCAATAATGATAAGTGCATACACAGTTGTGTAGTTGCTGCAGTGAGAAGACAGTTGAATAATTACTTTCAAATACCTAATATATGCATGACAGTCATATTTACAAAAGGATGTCGATCCTCTTCCTGTTTTTTCAATACATTGCGTTCTAAACTGACAACAGCACTTTTGTCATACTCCTGCACAATCCTTGTAAACATTTGAAATGGATGCAACAAAAAATATCTGATCTTTGAAAAATATTTGTGGGTGTTTTTTGTATTGTCTTCACTAAGATGTCAGATGTTGTGGGTGTCATTTGGAAATGTATAAAAGTATAATTGTTCTGCTTCCTGGCAATGTTACCCACTGTGATTGGAGGCTATACAAACAAACAAATGTAAAATAAAGATACACAGCAAACAACTGTGTCACGATGGCAACTGTCAACCTCGTTACCTATAGAAGTGGTTCTGACCCGGGGCAGACTGGGACCTCTTCCTGGAATGGGGTTGGTGCTCCATCCTATTTTTACCCAGGAAATAAGTGCACACAAAGGTATTTTATTGATTTCATGTTCACAAATTCAAACCCTACATGGTATAATTACATTTGTAATTAGTCTTACCCGATCAGACGCTGGTTGTGGGTGCCTGAGAGGTCTGATAAAGGTTAACAACAAATATATTCAAACTACTGTACTGTTAAAACATTCTGCTTCTTGTGGCACAAAATAATATGTTGACAATGTTTTATTTACCCTGCAAACTGTTGTCCATTCGTGGAGGTGCTCACTTTTGGAACATTTGGAATGTCCCACACCTGCATACAACACACAAATGACTGACTGAAATAAAATAAATTCACTTTAATTAAGAATAAATGCCACGATAAATCCAAACTGACCAAGGTACATTATATTGTTGACCGTCCTTTAACTCTCACATTAGGATTTACATTGAAGCACAATAAACCAACTCCTCTCTGCACCTATAATATATCTATATGATGTCAAGAGTTACATTTAGGTGCACAGACAGTGCTGTCTCTTTGACTTGCAAGCTCTTTCACCAAACAAGCTAACGCTAGCTGGGTAAATATGACGCTCTTTGTATCAAAACAAAACTTGCCTTTTTATATATCGTCTTTTTCCACTTCGATCAACTTCGTTTCCTCCGGCTTCAATTTGCAGCACTCTTGTTCGTTCCCTCTATGTCTGGTCAGACATCAATCTGTTCCACGTAGCGCGCCCCCTAGAGGCCTGGAACACTTCCGGAATGTTTTTTTTTTGTATGTGCTTTGGACTTTGCATGTCGTTTTGGTATTTGCAGCGTTTTTTTTGTTGCGTTTGTTTTCGGGGTTTGTGTGTTGTATTTAGGTTGCATCATTTCTGTAAATGCAGCGTTTTTTGGTTGTATTTGTTTTCAGGATTTGTTTGTTTTTCATTTCAGGATTTGCAGCTGTTTCCTGCTAATGTATTTGTTTTTGGCCGTTGTTCCGCGTTTGCACCTGCCGGCCACCGTACAAATAGATACAAATGAACTACCCACATTTCAAATATTTTTAAATGTGTTAAATTATGGAAGATATTACAATACAGAATTTAGGGTTATTTGTATGGAGTGTGTGATAGACACAGTAGTTCACCGTTTTTCTACATTATTTGAACACAGATTCCACTTCATACAACAGATCGAATTATGTCTGTGCAATAGGTACTTTAAGTATGTTAATTCACTAATAAATGTCTTAAATGATGATGTAGTTTTATGAATTAGCTATCAAGTGGTAAATGAAGGACCCAAACTTTTGTAATGACACCTTCAACAGCTGCAACATTAGAGAAGTTTACACATTTAAACATCAACAATTATACTTGAATAATAATATAGCTAACTGTATATACTTCTGGAAAGAGCCATTCTGCATAATGAGTAATGTTATTTAAGTTAGATTCTGAATATGTTTCTACACTGTGATATTGGTAAAAGATAAAGTAGGCCTACTCCTTCCAGCAGCGGATGTTTTTTTCTGAATACCTGTCGTGTGTCTCCCCGCCAACAGGGGCCGCTGTGGGCCGGGAGACAGAACAGACCCCACGAACTCTTGTGATGTCCGGAAGAAGTCAGCATGGCGGATTTATTTTTCACTTCATGCTTTTCTGTTTACTGTTCTGCTATAATGTATTGACATTTATAACGGATATGTAACCCCGCGTGAGCTGTGTATTCAGACAGTAAGGGCTGCAGAGGGATCTCGCTGCACCGCTGCCTATCTCCCTGCTCACATCGTGACTTGTGACCCAGTTGGGTTTGGTGAGTTTCCTCCTCCGTGATTGCTTAATACTCATCTCAAAACGTTATCATGCTTATGTAGCAGTGTGTTTTTTACATACTCAGACTGCGTTTGACGTTGTAGAGGCTGCCCCCTGGCCTATTATGATGATTATAGACAGAATGAGACTACGGTAATGCAGGGGTGTGTGTAGCTTTAGGCACAACGGGAGTCTATAGTAAGGTTAATGCATTTCATAGTCATCTTTATGTATTATACTTGATAGAGACGGGGCGAGAAACACATGGCAATGATACACCGTAAACCCTGATTAACCAAAGGGTATGAATAAAATGGTGCGGGATATGTTGCAAAACCAATATGCTAGTAATGCAGATGAAGTAAATAAATAAATAGCCTACAATGAGCTAAATAATACTGCGGTCAAGCCAGCCTCCACTTCGGAAAATACAGTCAAGCCAGCCCGCCCGTTGTATCGCGGTGCGCGAATATCCTATGCATTACGGTAGAGGCCTGGAAAAACTGCCTTCAAAATAAAAGCGCTTACTCGGTCAATAACAAATATACCTAAAAAACATACCAAATATATTCATACTGGAGCTTAAATTAAGAAATATCGACTATATAATGTGATCAATAATAATTTTAAAACAAACTACGTATAACTACCACATTATAACTGAGTGAATGTAAAACTTAAGGATACAGTTATGAAGACATATCTGACCATTACATTCATTATTAAAATGTCCATTTCCACTGGGTGACTAATTTCAATTGTTATTGACCGAGTAAGCGCTTTTATTTTGAAGGCAGTTTTTCCAGGCCTCTACCGTAATGAATAGGATATTCGCGCACCGCAATACAACGGGCGGGCTGGCTAGTGTGTTTTCCGAAGTGGAGGCTGGCTTGACTGCAGTTAAATAATGCAGAGAATGTTGTAAGTGATCAAGTAAATGCATTATATATACATGTAAATAGAACAAGAACAGAATGTAAAATTGAATATTGTTCCGTAAATTAAAATTAAATACTGTTTATTGTAGTGATAACTATTTTGATAAATACATTGTAAGATGCAAACAGATGAATGCTTGAGGTCATGGAGCGCAGGAGTTTAGCAGTCTTATGTCCTGTGGGGTAAGACTGTCTCTGAGTCTATATCTCTGAACAAAAGTCCAATGTTAACGTTGTGATGTCAGAATCAAATTGGTTGATCTTGATCCAGCAATAATGTACACAGCATAACATATTTTGTTGCCTGACATTTTGGTTGAGGTTTTTTCACCCCAAACTGCATGTGAATGTTATCAAGTAGGCATGTCTGTAAGGGGCCACGTGTGGGTATACTTAGAACCTGATTGTATTCAGAGATCTTGAGGAGAGAGGTCAAGAGACCCCTGTAGATATGGCCAAGACAGTTTTTCCCTTGTCAAATGTAGCCTACCTTTGGAGCCTATGCTTTCTTTACAACCCCTGAAAGACTGAATGTTGTAAATAATAAGTGTGTATTTTGGTGCAACGTAAACAATTGAAACTGAAGCTGAAACTATCTTGGGTTTGTTTCTTTTACAGGTTTCCTAGACTGATCTCAGTGGGACGAAACTTCAGGAGCCTTAACAAGGATCAGCGAAGAAACCAAATTGAACACAAATAAAAACACCAGAAACTAACAATGGATAAAGTGACTATCGGTGACGAGGTGACGAGACAGGAGCTGCTCCCAGAGCCTCTACTGATAATCCTGTCCCCACCTCCTCCTTTCTTACCCGGCGCTGGTAAACCGACCATGTTTTGGCACAAGTGGCTAAAAGCTTTTGAACACTACTTTCATGCTCTTGGTGAACACGAGCTTGCTGAATCCTCTAAGTGTGGGCTCCTAAGGAACTGCCTTGGCCTTGAAGGCCAGCATATCTTCACCGCTCTGATCCAGAGTGAAACTTCGTACACAGCAGTCATCTCCTCGCTCACGCTTTACTTCTGCTCCGATCACACCTCTCAGATGTGCCGCCTTAAATTTCATCAGAGGGCTCAGATGCCCGGGGAGGGTGTAGACGTGTTTGTGTCTGCGTTAGAAGAACTGCTGAGACCTTGCAATTATGGACACTTACAAGACAAACTTATCCTGGATCAGCTGATTGAGAAAACCAACTGCCCACCCCTCAAAGAGAGGCTGCTGTTGGAGAGGGAAACGTTGACCCTGGACAAAGCATTGGTCATTGGTAAAGAGGTTGAATCTGCTTTCAATGAAACTGACCTGTTTAGTATTCATGAGGTCAGTGTGGACATTGAAGACGATTTAGGCCCTCCTGTTCCAACAAAGCGTAAAAGAGGAAGACCTCGGCGTGGGGAGGGAAAGCTGAAAATCGAAACAAAACCACCCTCGACCAAAACTCATACAAGATCATCTAGACACAAAGATAGTTACTATTACAGCAATGATAAGCAATATTATAGTGAAAATGATGGAGGTGTGTCTGAAAGTGCTCATGAGACTAATCTAACTTTGGATGAACCCAACGATGAAGCAGCTAAAGAGGAGAAGGCTCATGAGACTAATCTAGTTTTGGATGAACCCAACGATGAAGCAGCTAAAGAGGAGAATGCTCATGAGACTAATCTAGCTTTGGATGAACCCAACAATGAAGCAGCTAAAGAGGAGAATGCTCATGAGACTAATCTAGCTTTGGATGAACCCAACGATGAAGCAGCTAAAGAGGTGAAAAGAGCGTTATCATCATCATCCTTAGATTGGATGGAAGAGGAAGGCTGCAACTATGCTAGTGATGGTGTCGATGATGAAGATGTAGAGGTAGATGAAGAGGTAGATGAAGAGGTAGATGAAGATGTAGATGAAGATGTAGATGACGACTTTAAACCTAAACAAAAAGGCCCCTACTGTCCCATTTGTGTCACAACGCGCTTCAGAGACATAAACAAGCTCAGCAGACACATGAGGACGCACACGAAGGAGAAACCGTTCAGCTGCCCGGTCTGCTCTACGACCTTCAGCCAATCCTACCACATGACCCGACACATGAGGAACCAGCACAATGCGGGACAACACGTCTGTTCCACATGTGGGGAAAGTTACAAGAGCCTTGCCGATCTGCAAAGTCACAAGAAGATGCATTTGTCATGTCCAAGCTGTCATAAAGAATTCACTAACAATAAAGCGTTGTGTAGTCATGTCTTGTCACACAGCGAAGACCAGTCCACCCAGGTAGAGGGTCAAAGTCAACTTGAGGGTCAGAGTCCTCTGCAAAGTGATGAAATAAAAAACCAAGAAATCAAATCAATAAACAAAGATAATAATGAGAGTATTGATATCAATGATAATGTTGCTGAGAACAGTGCAGACTCTGATAATAGTGATTCTCAGGATGAAGAATGTGAAGATAATGTTAAGGATAAGGACACTGAAAAAGCTACATCTCAAGATGGAGGCAGTCCCAAAGAAGAACGAGCCTCCAAGACTAAAACAAAGGGCCATGTCTGTCCCATCTGTGTCGACAGGCGCTTCAAAGGGGCAAACAAACTCGCGAGACACATGAGGACACATACAAAGGAGAGACCATTCGGCTGCCCTGTCTGCGATATGAGCTTCAGCCAATCCTACCACATGACCCGACATCTGAGGAAGCAGCACGGCATGGGTCAGTACATCTGCGAAAAATGTGGGAAAAATTTAGCAAGCTGGCTGGAGATGAGAGCACACAAGAAGACTCATGCTGTTGACGGCCTGACATGTATTGCTTGTGATAAACAGTTTAAAGAGAAGGCTGCCCTAGTGAGTCATCTTAAATTACACAAGAAGGTCCAGGCCAAACCCCAAAGCCTCACCTGCGGCGATTGCGGCAAAGTATTCGGTCGTATGTATCATCTGAAAAGGCACATAGTGACCCATCGCAAAGCAACAAACGGAGATATTTACACGTGCCCTGATTGTCAGAAGGATTTTGCCTTCCCAGAAGACCTCAACAAACACCTGGAGATTCATTTAAAAGAAAACAATGGGACCTGTCCAAAATGTGACGAAACCTTCAGTAGTCCAGAAGACCTGGAGGCGCACATGGGGGTCCATGAGAAGTCTTACGCCTGCAGCACCTGCGGGAAGAAGTTCAAGGTCGAGTATGCGCTGAAGAAGCATGAGCAAGGGCATCAAGACGAACAGTTTTATTGTTCGTTGTGCCGCAAACACTTCATCAAGCTGTCCCACTACAAGAGGCACATGACGGTGCACGACAGACGGGAATCTAGATGTCCTCACTGTGACAGCATCTTTCTGCAGCTAACAGCTTTTAAGTATCACCTGCGGACTCACACAGTGGAGAGGCCGTACCAGTGCACCTGTTGCATCGAGACCTTCGAGGAGAAGAAAGATCTGGATCAACACTGCTTGAGACACAGGAAATTCAAGAAGGAGATGCCAAACTCGTGCACTAGGTGCGATTGTGCTTTCTCTACACTCCTTGAGCTGACGGACCACATGAGCTCACATGATGGAGAGCAGCCAATGACCTGCCCCATCTGTGGCAAGACTTTCCTCAACAAGAGCAAGATGGAAAGGCACCTGAGCATCCACTCGGGGGAGAGGCCGCACCTCTGCTCCATCTGCGGCAACGGCTTCCCCTCGGCCGCCAGCCTCAAGTTACACCTCCACATCCACACCGGGGAGAAACCCTTCCCGTGTCCGCAGTGCAGCAAGAGCTTCAGGTCGTCCAGCGGGCTGCGGCTGCACGGCCGGCAGCACATGGAGGTGCGGCCCAGCTTTGAGTGTCTCGAGTGCGGCAGGACTTACGGTCGCATCACGGAGCTGAAAATGCACCAGCGCTACCACACAGGGGATAAGCCGTACGCATGCACCTGCTGCAACAAACGCTTTATTAGCAAACACAAGCTGAACGTTCACATGAGGATACACACGGGCGAGAGGCCGTACGCCTGTCCTAACTGCGGACAGACATTCACGCAGACTGGAGACAGAAACAGACACGTCAGTAAATACCACGAGTTAGATACTGTAGTACCTAACTCCAGTGAAGATTAGGTTGCTTTTGAATGATTGTGCCGGTGGTTTTGCATGTAGGGGGTGACCAGGTGCCAACAAGCCACATTGTTTTTGAGGGACAATGCGGGACATGTTACTTGACTTGTGTGTTAAACGTTAATTAAATCAGCTACTGTTACCTCATCGCTTTTGGCTTCAGGAGGAATATATCCTTGGGTTGGTGGTAGAGCAGGCTCACACGGGCGACTGTCAATCAAATGTGTGGGACAAATTATCAAAATGCTGGGCAGTCCCGCACAAAGTGGGATACCTGGTCACCCTATTTGCATGTTTGTTGGGGTTGGGAGCAGTTACAATCAATGAATGCAAAACCACTGTCTTCTCTGTCCAGACTTTACTGTCTACAAACAGTTTCTCCCTGATTTGTTGTTTTCTGCAAGCTTCATACCTGGACTCTCTTCTATATCACTACATTTTACCACTTAATACAACAGCTGTGCATGAGGGTTTAGTCATTGTAGTCCATCCCCCTCACCCCTTCTCCATACAAGTTCCTTGCACTCCCAACAACTCACACTAGTGACAGAATGCGAGTTTCACAGTTTAGCGTGCCCAAATCTGTTATTATGTTGGTATGCTACATACTAGTTTAAATTAAGTAGTATCAAGTATATCACTGAAATGATGCAACAAAAAATTCAAAGATCATTGTTCAATGCTTTTGTTGTCCTCCATTACACAGTTTGTGTTACATAGTCTTATGTTGTTTCTTTTCACATCTTAGATTATTTTATTTTCGACTTCTCTGTAACCAAGCGTTTGTAACTGTGTTAAGAAAAGTGCCATAAAAATAAAACTAGTATTCACTCTGCTTGCACATGTAATGAGGCTTCTGCCTGAGCGGGGCGGGGGGGTCATTGGGATATTTATTTATTTTAATCCTCTGGAGCAGAGAGAGGAGCTGTGGATTATTGTTATTGATTAATGCATCTGTTTCTTAGGGTCAAAAACACTAAACTCACAACTTAAAATGAAAGCCTTTAGTTTATTTAATAAAAGAGCACATGTGAAAAGTGACAGTAGATCAGATTAGTTGCAATTTGGTGCTATATATATATATATATATATTTTTATTTTTATTTTTTTATAAACACCTTTAATTTCAGGGGGGGCGCGGGGCTCCGTTGGCAGGGCGCAGCGCCCCTCCAAGACAATGGTAGGGGAAACACTGACATTTGTAAAACATGTAAGCTGCATCATTTTAGACACATATTATCAGTCAAGTGAGAATAAAAAGATTTAAATATCATTTGAAATTAACTATATGAACCCCAAAATTAAGGTCAAGTATTTTATGTAGGGTTCTTTCTGACCCTTGCAAAGCTTCAATAGTTATAAATGTCTTAAATCAATCATTCAAAAGAGGATTTTATAAATAGTTTTGACTGAAAATGCATTGTTACATCTCAAAACAATTGGTAATATATATCTTTCCGTAACCCATAATGCCTCTTGCATAAACCTCAAGCACTTCTGGGTAGCAGAAATTAGCTCCTAAAAAGGGCTTTAAATTATTTCCAAGTTGAATTAAAAAGTCCTTTACATTCTTAAACTTAAAGGTGGGGAGGTAATTTTGGAGAAACCAGCTCGAGTGCTCTAGAATTTGAAAATACAGAGCCCCTCCTCCAACACACACGAACGCGCACATGACCAATGAGGGCACGAGATAAGTTTGTGCACAGATGGAAGGCTGACAGGCAGGTAGGCCATCCAGTTACTTTAGACGGGCCGGCTCCACAGATGACGTTTTATGGATTTTTTGTCAAAGCACTTCAGATATTCATTGCTATCGGGATGTTAAGAGCATTCCATGGAATATAACAAAAAGTGTATCTCGAGCCGGTTTCTCAAACTTACCCCACCTTTAACTAAAGTCTGTGACAGATCTCCGTGTTGAGTTTATTTAAACAACATGTTTTATATAAATGTGTGTTTTATGCTGAAGCTAAATGACATGCTAATGAATGCAATAAACTTACATTTTCATTAGTAGATCAACATGGTTGATTTAGGTCTCAAAGTTTCCTCTTAGGTTCTGGCATGCAGAAACATAGGCCTACTGTGTATGCAGCCGTGAGAGATTTATTTTGGATCTTTTTAAATGTTTGAGAACATTTTACCATCGGTGTATCATTTCGGTACTTATTTAACAACTTCAAACAAGCTGACATATCTGATAAAAAATCAATAAAGAAGCTAACTGTCGGTAAAACTAGTTGAAAGCAGGCGTCCACATGAGGGTGCTGCTGGGACGTCTATTACGCAGATCACAAATACAGTACCAAATAGCTATTCTAATAGTTCATAAAACAAACATTTCATTAATCATTTTCTTACCATACTTATCCAATACGGGGAGATATCCAACAGTAAATCAGCAATATACATGCAACAAAACGAAACTTAAACAGTCCAAACTTATATTATTATAAGTACCACCTGATATCCTAATTACAGTTGGTAAAAGTCATTATTTTTCTTCCCTACAGACTTAGGTATTTTATTTAGCCAGAAATGTAACATTGAGATTCAGGATTTCTGAATTTATGTTCTTGTAATTTACTAGATTATCCAATCTATGCAACCTCCTACTTTCTTCAATACATTTCGAGTATTAACGTCTTACTGCAATGCATTCATTTTATAGGTATGGCCACCTTCTTAAATGTAGCCTACATTACATGCTATACATACCGACACACAGGTGTTTTCAGTTTAGTGTCTGATGAAGGGTTCAAGTTAGTGTTGTGAAATCCTCTGCTGGGTTTGAGGTTAACTTGTTCTCATAAGCATGGGCGTCATTTTGTTAGAAAAAGTGGTGTGGACAATTTCTCCAGATTTAACATCAGCATAGTAGAAGAAAAAATATGTCCCTCCCCTGTTTGTTGAACCTCGAGCACCTGCATGAATAACCAATGCATAGACTATGTACGCACAACTATAGGTCTGACATAAGTAACAAATAAATAAATGCATATATCCACAAAAAAATAGATAATAATAAAACAACAATAATGAAATGTATAATATAATAATTAAAATACAAATAATGATTAAATACAAATAATAATAATAATACAATTAAAATAATAATAATGTTATACTCCATTTATTGGAAATAGAATGGTATCAATCAATCAATCAATGTTTATTTATATAGCCCAATATCACAAATGTTACATTTGTCTCAGTGGACTTTACAGTTTGTACAAAATATCAGTATGACAATACGACACCCTCTGTCCTTGGTGTAATGGTATATACTTTAACTAAAGGATGTTATAAAATGCAGGACTTGTACTTGTAACCATAGACTGTATATATAAAGGCTTGTACCAGAGTATTTTTAATGATGGTACTGTTGCTTTTACTTTATCTATCACTGGTGTTCAACTTCCAACAGAGAAGTGTAACATCCGGCCCGACAGGGGGCAGCACTTACCTTTAGTCCTGAAGCTAATGCTAATCTTCTGTTTACAAACAGGGGCACAAGAAGGTAGCTTTGTATTGTAAAATAAATAAGTCACTTCTGTGGTTTACGTCGTCATGTGGATAATGTTTTTAAAGCGAGGTAACGTTGGGTTATGATACCGAATCATGTGCCTTATCTCGTCTTGAGTTGTAAAGCTTAGTTGGTCTCAATTCTAAAATATACTGCTGAAGTTAAGCTAACTTTGCTAATGGTACAAACGGCTGGTTATCAACCCCTTCATTTTCAAAGAGATACATTGACGCACTGTAAATTATGTTAAATAACATGTGTGAGGTAGATTTCAGGATTAACCCAACAGATAACCACTTGCCCTGTAAATCAAAATAATGAACATAGCTACGTTAGCTTGCTAGCTTACTAGCTACATTGCTTACTGTCGTAGACTGTCTAGACTCGGTGTTAAGCAGTGTAAGATAATCATAATTAACTTCAGTATGTTGCTGGAGCATTGCAACGTTCCTTGTTCAAAAATAGCAGTCTATTGATCAGATTAACTTTCAGTAAAACAACTTCAACAACTGGTTAAACTTTAAACCTGAATCTAGAGTCTCTCCTAATGGCTGCTTTAGGCTTTAATCTTGCCAGCGGGCAAGATCTTTTCAGCATTGACACAACAGAACAATCCAGCTCTATAACAAACTGTGCCCTTAGTGGGGAAGAGGTCAGGCAGTTCTACGAAAATGTAATGAAAGATAGTCAAGGGCAAGACAAATCAAGGAGGAGAGCAACTAGCAAGGGTGATAATGGCAGAGAGACCAATAGAAGAGAGAGGAGGAGAACCAGGGCAGCAGAGATGCAGCAGGCTCAAACAGACTCTGTGGTTCATAGAGGGAATAGTAGTGAACGTGAAGGCAACACAAGAAGACATGTCATCTCAGAAAGGACCATGGAGCTCCTGGGGCTCAGGTTTCTGCGCTGTGCCAATGATGGCGACATCTCTGGCCTCAAAGACCTGCTCTCAAAGGGTGTTGACATCAACTTCCAGGTACAGTACTGACTTACTGCTTAGTGTGCTTTCACTTTCTGACCCTTTATTGGTTTTAAGTCCTGATGGTTTTCCCTTCAGGATACTTACTTTTGGACGGCAATGATGTGTGCAAGCTGGTCAGGACAAAGAGCAGCGGTGAGGCTGCTGCTGCAGAACGGAGCCGCCTGGGTCGGAGTGGTTGACACTCAGGGCAGGGATGCCAAAGACCTGGCGCTGGAAGGTATAACCATGCATTTATTAACATCTCTAAAGTCTGTTTTGTGTGTTTGTTTGTACAATGAAGTTGAACTCATTCATATCTGTTTTTCCCCAGCGGGCCACAATGAGTTATTGGAGGAGTTGGAGAGCTATGGGACAAGTGCAGAGAGAGACCCTCAATCTGATAGCAGGTTAGCACACACTGAGCGTTGCGGCTCTTCTAGAGCTGTGACCCCACATGAACCAACATAGCTTCTGTGTGAGCCCGACCCGAGCCTGAACCATGGCCGTTATGGGCCTATGCTAAATTTAATAAACTTGAATTACCTTAATTTTACATTGTTCATGACATTACACAGACTATGTTTTGCATTTAAAGGGGGCCTATCATGCAAAATGCACTTGTGTACGTCTTTTATACATGAATATGTGTCCCCGGTGTGTCAGGGAACTCACCAAGTGTCAGAAAACACAACCCTCTCTTTTTTCCTCCATACCCAAATCTCTAAAAGCGGGGCTGCAACAGAGCTGAAATAGATTTGAATTTTTATGACGTCAGAAAAAGGGGTGCTCCGCCTATATGGGCAACTCTCCACCTATCGAGTGAATGGGGGGTTGGGCCACGGCCATTGCCGCTCGAAAGTGCTGGAAACGCTGTAGTACATATGCCAGGCCTGTAAGTGGCGCTGTAGTCTGCCACAAAAGCAGCGAAGAACACTTCTCACAGAATCAGCCCTTGCAAAAACAGTGCTGGAAAAGAGCAAAATAAGGCATGGCTAAAATGCATGATCTGTTTGGTATTTTGAAAAAAAAACTTCACAGACATGTTTTATATAGGTATGGCCCTACAATATATTATTCAAATATAGCATGATAGGTCCACTTTAAAGAGAAGTCACCGGTAAACGTTTAATCTTTATTTAAATGAAATCTTTAAGAACTGTGACCAAGACCTGTACTGAGTTGGACTTTCTAGAGTTGATAAATAAACATAATTATCAGCTGACGTATATGTAGACACAAAGGTTAAAGTCAGGAGTGGCCCTTTGAACGTTTTACCATAAGGATGTTACAAGAAAACAAGTTTCACAAAACAGTCAAAGATGAACTAAATCGTTTGAACATCATTAAAGGCCTTGCACAACATGCACTGGTATTTCCACTTATTCAGGTTTATACAATCACTGCTTATATATAGACATTTTTATTCATTGATAAACCCCTTGAGATGCACTATCTAGTTTTCAAGGGGGTCCCGACAATAGCAACAACTTACAGACGTACATAAACAAAAAGACAAAATGCAAAACATGACACACAAGACAAACCACATAGTCTGTTAAGTAAAATTCAAGCAATGCATACAATCATTACAATTTGAGAGACAGTCGAGCAAATCAGTTTCATCAATATCAGTTTCATTAATAACAAGTACAGACCAGTTGAAAGTGAGATGATAATGCATGTTTAAACATACCCAATGATGCAAGAGATCTAATAGCAGCAGGTAAAGTCTGTTGGGGCTTTGAAAATGAACACTCTTCTGCCAATCAATTTTTTTGCAGAGGGGACAGAGAAATAAATCTGAACAGAATGATTGAACTTGAATGAACTTGATGATTTGGCGAGTAGGGTACAAAATACTGCTTTTAAATAAGGGGGATAGTTAAGATAAATGCATTTAAATATCAGCTGAAGCCAATGTGTGTGTCTTCTTACATTTAAAGAAGGCCATTTAAGTTAGTTATACATTGTGCAGTGATGTGTACGAAAAGGACAACCAAGAACAAATCTGCATAGTCTGTTGTAGGCTATGTTGAGTGGAGCAAGATCTGATTTATATGCATTTTGGTAGACAACATCACAATAGTCCATAATCGGAAGAATAAGTTGAGAAGCAATTCTCTTCCGGACACTGAGCGTAAAACAATTGCGAGAGTGGTGTAAAATACAGATTCCGTAATTGACTTTTTGTATTACATGCTTTATATGTAGTTTAAATGAAAGTTCAGAGTCTAGCCATACACCAAGATATTTAAAGCTATCAACTTTATGCAGAGAAGTGCCATCCTTACATGTTATTGCTACATTAGGTTTGGATTTGAGCTTCTGCCTGGTACCAAAGACCATGGTATAAGATTTTGTTTTGTTAAGCAGTAGTTTATTGTGTGATAGCCAGTCCTGTAAGATATTAAAATCCGATTGAAGAGAGATCTGAATTTGTGAAAAATCAGATTTGGATGTATATATGACAGTGTCTTCAGCATAAAGGTGAGTACAACACTTAATGAGACAAGAAGATAAATCATTTATGTAAATAGAAAACAGAAGTGGGCCCAGAGTTGATCCTTGGGGTACACCCTTTTGTTGGATCAACAGGTCAGACTGTTTTCCATTAACAACCACACATTGCTTTCTACTGTGAAGGTACGAGTTAAACCATAACACTGTATTATTAGAAAGGCCAATGTCGTGAAGTTTAGGCTTAGGTTGGGCTGAGCCAAAACATGCTACATACTTCTTTGCACATTTGATATCACATATTATCTTCACAAGTGATAGTTTTAGAAGTCCACTGAGACAAATGTAACATTTGTGATATTGGGCTATATAAATAAATATTGATTGATTGATTGATACTTTTTGTTGTTGTAATGGGTAAGCTAGGATTCACCAAAGTCACACAAAAAAAACTAACCAATCCAGGAAGCGGTAAAAACAGTGTTTGTCAATGGAGTCTGGTGGCTTTCAAGAGAGTCTAGGTACCAGGCTTCAGTTCCAGATTTGAGATTATTCTAAATATAGAGTCTACTTAAACTGATGTAAAATTTTTTACGGTGGCTAAATAATTGTTTTGTTGCTGCCCCTATCCTCAGAAGTGTATTCCTTTGCTTCTTGCTGGTACTCCTTCCTTTTCTTTCCACATACTTTTCCTTCAACAACCGTACTTCAAAAAAATCCAAACTGTCTCTTAAATGCACATATAGACACCTGGCTATTGTTTTAAGACATAAATCAAAGTAGTGAATCTGTTTCTTTAATACATTTCCTCTCATTGTCTCCTCCTCTGTTCGCCCCCAGTGCCTCCCAGCCTCAGTGGTGCGGTGTGTGTTGTAGCGAGTACAGCAGCAGCCTGTCGTCACATCTATCCTCCACTCTTCATCTGTTCAGTCTGCGGCGTGCTCCCCCCACACCCTACTACTGCCTCCCCCCCTCCAGCAACAGCTACAAGATGATGGTTCGCTGCGGCTGGGAACCGGGGACAGGGCTGGGGCCGGAGGGCGAGGGGCCCAAACAACCAGTGCCAACGGTGCTGAAAAGAGACCAGGAAGGCCTGGGATATGGACACATGAAAAGAGCCAAAGTGACTCACTTCCAACCCAGGGACTCTGCCGCAGTGAAACGACCATCACAGGAGAAACAGGAAGGCAGAGGCAAAGGAGAGAGGAAGGAAGATAGTAGGAGAAAAGAACAAAGAGACAAGACCTGGGAAAGAGATTTCCGTGCCTCTTTTTATCTTTGACACCTGCTCAAAGTGACTTTTCAAAATGTTTTCTTTTCCAGACGCTTCTAAAAGTATCTCTAAAACATTAAACAGATCTTTTATGAAGAGGTGTGTTATTAGCTGTGAACAGCAGCTCTGTAGGAGGCTGGACATTTGAGATGGAAGTCAAGTGAGTGAACGCATGATGAGAGGATGCAGTGGCGTACGTTGTCACAGAGTGCAGGTGTGTGTAAAGGTGCTTGGAGGTGTTTTTCCACTTTGACTCTACCTCAGACCTGTTTCCGTATTGTGCAACGACCAAATATGGCATTGATTTATCTTCATGATTTTGATTTATTCCATGTTTCATACGGTTTTCATTTATTTAATATACATCCACTCATTACGGTTCATTAACCAGGAAAATAAATGTCTTTAATATAAAAGAGCTGTTTTATTTTGCTTTCCTTTACTGCCATTGGCAAGCAATTCATATTACAGGACAACATCACTTTGAGATTTGGCTCCACTTGACCAACATGCACATATAGATGAATTAACACCTAACTTGAGTAGAACATACATAAACCTACATGACATTACAAACAAAAATATAACTAACCTGTAGCAAAACATGTCCATCTCCACTTACAAATAATCAGTTGAAGTTGTAGGTGGGCAGTCGACTTTAATCATGTCAAATGTTTCCACAATCTTAGAATAACCCTCATCCAATTAGAAGTAATTCATGTTTCCTTTCATGTAGAGTTTCTATCAGTAGTTTTTTGTACATACAGCAGTTATTAGTTAGATATTTGAAATGTATGTAGTTATCTCTCTTGAGCAGCAGAAGTCATGGTGTTAAAGGGTGTCCTTCAGATGGCCATGATTCTTGTATGTTATGCAACTAAACAAACCAACAGTGCACTCTCCCTTAGTAGGAGCTCGTGGTACCTTCTCACCCAATGTAACACACCTGCAGCCTTGACCATGTGACTGGCGGGTCACATGCTTGTGTTTATCTGCAGTTTCAACATAGTAACACTATCTGGGTATTTAATTAAAAGCTGCACTCCTGTCTAATTGTATGTGTTAGGGTTTAAAGTGTTTTGAAGTCTCTATTTAAATAGGCACAACTCAAGCCAAAGGGGGTCATCAGAGCTGCAAAACGCTCCCCCAACCCCGACAATACAATATTAGACAAACCATATAATGTGTAATACAACACGTCAATGATATTTTTATAACCCAATATCACAAATTACAATCTCTATCTGGATAGTTGACAAAAACATTGGTTCTTGAAAAACTTGCTTCGGATAAGGAAAACCCACTAACAAAAGCCCACTGAGTCATCAGAAAGGTGAGGTGATGACTTTGTGGTAGTCATTCAACTGACTTGAGTATTTACGGGATATTGCAATGTATTGCATCATGTGTTTTTTTATTTTTAGGAATTTTACTTTGTTGTTCGGATACTTTATGCATTTTAAAAACATGGAGTGATATGGCCTCCCCCCAAATTTCATACACATCAAATCAAAATTGTATGTGTGACAGTAGAGATGAGTATACGTTAGACTTGGGATCCACTGGTGATTAAACAAAATGTAACATATCAAGATTCACAAATCTTACATCAGCCGCTATATCTATCTAGAGATGTGACCAAAACACAAGAAAGCCCCCAAAGGTACCACCAGTTTTTATTGATTAAGCTGCATGTAGCTTTGATAAAAGCATTTTAACAATAAGATAACATAAGAAAATAAATCCATGTTAATGTGTCATTATGCCTCCTTGACATTTTTCAGACATTTTGTTTTATGAGTTTACAATTTTTTTACTTTTTAGTTTCATTGTCAAATCTGGTTGAGTTTGATTTGTAATCATGACACAAAATGTTATTAATTAGTGTTTCGACAATACATATTTTTCCTGTCAAACATTTCCATCACTTATGAACGTCTTCAATTATTAAAGTCAGGGTCTATCACAATGTCACATCAGATTACACATTTTTATAAACTTTAAGCAGCATTTTTTATTACTAAATGATACATTTAGAGCAGGGGTGCCCAACCTTTTTTGAACCGAGAGCTACTTTTAAAGTTGCCAGTCTGCCGAGATCTACCAGTCCAAATAGAGAGGCGTAGCCATTACTGATAGCCTACTGCCAGGTAAATACACACTTCTACTTGTATAAAACTGACCTTTGTACGATTAATACTTCATAAAATACTGCAGATCCTTTATCTTACCTCTTTCTAATCTACACACATACAAGTATTTAACTGAAGTTACACAACAGTGTTGTTGATACAGAGTTGGAGTTTATTCACACGTCACATACTACAGTGGGTAATGTTTTCAAGAAACATTGAACAGTGCTGCCACATATGACACAGGAACAAAAGAAAATATTCTGAACCCTTTCTTTGCCATTATATAAAAATAGTGTTGCTACAAAAGTATAAATTAGGCTTACTAATAAGACAACTCAGATCTGAAGCTACACAATAAAAAAGACAAAATTAATAGAATCAAACCCTTTTTTTGTTGCATTTTAGTAGATTATAAAAAGAAATGCCTTTAAAATAGGATGCAAGCAACACTAGTTTCTTAACCTGAATTGATAATAGATTATAATCAATTTAAGTTTGCATTCTTATACCATTTTGTACAATAATTATAAATGAATAAGTTCAAACAAACTCAAACTTACAGCTGATTAATAACTGTATATAACTTGAGTTTTTATCATATCAAAAACCTGTTGAAAATGCTACTGTTATTTTTATTACGCATCGGCAGCCTCCAGGAATGCTTCTTTCACAACTTCGCCGTCTTTGAAAGACTTCATGTGTTTCTCAAGAACGTGACTGACACGATAAGATGCTCTGGTAGCAGCCTTGCTCTTGTTGTTGGGCCTGGTGAAAATGGACTGCTGTGCATTTAGCTGTCCTTTCAGGCCCCTCCCCTTTTGGGAGCGTAGGGCAGAATTAGGAGGGAATTCCGTCTCGTAGCGTTTGTGCACTGTTTTGAAATGCCGCTCCTAAATTACCCTTCTTCGATAAAGCCACGCTCGCATTGAAGATGAGACAGATGGACTTTGAATTGGAATAGATACAAAAATAATCATCCTCCCACTCGGAGTGAAAATTATATATGTTTTGCTTCTGCCATAATTGCGGTCTTGTGTGTGTGCGGACTGTCACTCCTGGTGTTGACACGGACAACGTTAGTAGGGGTGGGCGGATCGATCCCAAAATATCGATACCTCCGATATTACGTTACGTTTCAAAATATCGATACTAGAGCCAATAGGATCGATACTGTTATACTTTTTTTCTCGTCTCCTCTACTCGTCAATTTCTTCAAAAAACTATGTGCAGACGAACACAAGTATATGCTCTTTTCTTCTCTCTCCACTGCTGTCCTCTTCTCCTCGAGGCTCCCTGCCTGAACGCCGATTATCAAGCTGACTGACAGCAGCCAGCAGGGCAGGACAGCAGCAGCCAGCGACTCGCGAGTGCAACACACACACGCGCATGATGGCTGAGAGAAAGAGCAGCGTTGTGTGGAGCAATTTCACAACTGGCCATTAAAACTTAGCGAACTGTGATGTGTGCAAGAAGACAGTTCGCTACTTTGGCCACTTTGTATTGTTATTTTTCATGTTTGCACTTTAAATTTGCAAAAGTAAAACGTGTATTTGTCTATAAAAACTGTCCTGTCTTTATTCATGAAAATGAATTCAGATTTAGTCTATTTATGATGATTTCAGTTCAAAAATCATGTCATGCAGCTCTCCCCTATATGAAAGTACATAAGACGCTTTTCATTAAAAAAAAGTATCGGTATCGATATCGGTATCGGCGATACAAGCCCTGAAATACTTGGTATCGGATCGAATCCAGATTTTGTGGTATCGCCCACCCCTAAACGTTAGCGAACTAGTGCACTGCCCACTGCCCACCAGCCACGCCCCGACACATGGGGTCACGCCGGCCAATCACAAAGCTTTGATGCGTTCAAGTGCATTATTCTGGCACAGGAAGATTATGTTATAGGACATTAACGATAAAACTGAATATTGTTGTTCTATTTTTAGACACATCTCGCGATCGACTGGGAATCTCCCCGCGAGCGACTGGTTGGGCACCCTTGATTTAGAGGATAGTTCAGCTCTTCTAGTTGTCGGCATTTCCTGAGGCGATTTAACGTATCACCAGCTTGAGCTTGATCGGTTTCAGAGGTCCAACCAGACCATCTGGGTCCATTATCAAAGGGATCTATGAAATACAAATACAACATTTGAAACACGTGCTCTCTCTCTGCCAGCAAATCCAACTTGTCAAGTGTATTGAGCAATCATGTAGTAAGCATTTAAAAAGTAACCACCTCCGTCTCCTCGCAGACGGAGAAGCTGTAGTTCTGCAGAACTTCCACCATGGCCAGTTTAATCAAAACCAGAGCAAAACGCATCCCTATGCAGTTCCTCGGCCCGAGCCCAAATGGCAGGTAGGTGTACGGGTTGATGCTCTGCTTGTTCTGTTTACTGAATCTTGAATAAAAAGCAACATAGAAAAGAAAATGTAACTTTTACACACATATGTTTCACAGGATTGTACAAATGAAGTTTCTCAAGATTCACGTTCAAGTGAAGAAATATTTATACATAAAGTAATTTAATTGAGAAAGACACTTAAAGTATACATATCTACACATTTACAATACACATTTCACCTTATACATACATGTATAGTACACACTCAGGAACACTGGCATCTACCTGTCGGGTCGGAACTCCTCGGGCTCGGGCCACAGCTCGGGGTCGCGGTGCAGAGCGTAGACTGGGACCATCACGAGCATGTCCTTAGGGATTGTGATGCCACTGATCTTTACAGTTTCTTTGGCAATCCGTTCAAGACGTCCAGCTGGAGGGTAGAGCCTATTGTCAAACGATTACTGACTGTCTTTTTTCAGTGTTAAATATTTTGAAAATCTACAGACTTGTCTTGTACCCAAATGTCTATTCTTGAAATACATCAATGTTGTTTCAATGGCAAGGTAGCAACTCAAAAGAACAAGTTGGTTCTGACTTTCTTTTATAATTATAATATGGACATTTGTGTTATGTGTGTTAATTATTTGGTGCATGATCAAATGCCTGTAAATCTAATGAGATTCCCGACAACCTCAGCTATTCTTCATTTTTAGTGCTCATTAGCAAATATTAGCATGTCAGCAAGCTATAATAATGGTAGTAACATTGCTAAACATTAGCATGTTAACTTAATTCTTATGCTTAGCATGTTGTGAACAGCTAGTATAAGAAAAAGCTCTTTACCTCAGACACTCATTGACGACATTGTCTAGGTAGCCTACTCCATCTGCATCAGCTCTTCATATTGGACAGAACCCTGCAGAGATACAAATCATG